AAGTGAAGGGGGGTGTTGGAAACATATAGTTCGCGCTTCTGTTGTGTCAAACGCTATAACAAGAACGAAGCAGACTCACAGCGAAGCAACACCGAGTCAACCAAGCCATAGCGAAGCGGTTGACAAGGCGACAACATCAGGAGGTTGAAGCAAAGGTCAAAGGTCAGCAACCTTTGACTCGACAAAGGCAGCGCGACAGCAAGGACAAATAATAGACTCGTTATTGAGTAGTTACCCGAGTCGTCGCTGTCAAACTGTATGTTTGTGTAATCTCTAGGCTATGGTGGGGCAAGGGGTAGAACACTGTAGGGTTAGTACTTGTACCCAACTCATTCATAGTTCATTCATTCCTGCACAGTTATTCTGACATGGTATTCAGAGCAAGAAACCTATTAAGTTTTTAGAGCCCACCGATCGTTTTGCTAGTTCCTGCCCGAAGCGCCCTTGCGTTGTCCGGCCCTCTCGCACAGTGTTACGCTGCCCAGCAGCTACTCGCACTGCCTGCCCTAGCGCACTGCCCTACTGTCACGCGCGCCCATGCTGCCCGAGAGCAGCCCCTGACCCGCGCGCCCCTGCTGCCCGCGTGCAGCCCCTGCCCCGTGCGCCCCTGCTGCTTGCGAGCAGCCCCTGCCCTGCGCGCCACTGCTGCCTGTGAGCAGCCCCCGCCCCGAGCGCCCCTGCTGCCCGCGAGCAGCCCCTGCCCTGCGCGCCCCTTCCGCCTGCGAGCAGCTCCTGCCCCAGCGCGCCCCGTCTGCAGGGTTGCGTCTGCAGGGTTCGCGCCCTACTGCCCTGCGCGTCGCGCCCTGCTGCAGCCCGCACGTCGCGCTCTGCTGCCCTGCGCGTCGCGCCCTGCTGCAGCCCGCTCGTCGCGCTCTGCTGCTCCGCGCGTCGTGCCCTAATGCAGCCCGCGCGTCTTTCTCTGCTGCCATGTGCGTCGCGCCCTACTGCAGCCCGCGCGTCGTGCCCTGCTGCCCCGCTCGTCGCGCCCTGCTGCAGCCCGCGCGTCGCGCCCTGCTGCCCTGCACAGCGCGCGCCCTGCTGCCCGCGCCGCCCAGGCCGAGCCGCACCGTCCAGCCCGAGCCGCCCTCCTGCTACTACTATTGCTGCTGCTGCTGCTCGTGCTACTGCTGCTGCTGGTGGAGGTGCTGCTGGGAGTGCTGGAGGTGCCGCCGCCCAGCCCCGCCGAGCCGCCCTGCTGCTACTACTCCTGCTGCTGCTGCTCGTGCTACTGTTGCTGCTGGTGGAGGTGCTGCTAGGAGTGGTGGAGGTGCTGCTGGTGCTGGAGGTGCTGGAGGTGCGGCTGGGAGTACTGGAGGTACCTGATGACGTGCACACGACCTGACCTCACGTACCCTCTCAGCCTCCTGGCTCGCTACGTGGCTCCCAGTAGACACTGAAAGGTGCACTTGGATGCTGCGAAGAGGGTACTGCGTTACTTGTGCAGTACATCGGGCATGGGGCTCGTGCTTGGAGGACGGGGTTCAGTGGTACTCACAGGACACTCCGACGCTTCTTGGGCCGACGACCAGGCGACTCAGCGTTCGTCACAGGGTTACACCTTTAGTCTTGGCTCTGGTTCTGTCTCGTGGAGGTCTACTCGTTCTTCTTCTGTGCTTGGTTCCAGCTGTGAGGCCGAGATCTACGCTGGGGCCATGGCTGCACAGGAGTTACGCTGACTGACCTACCTGCTGACCGAATTGGGGGAGCGGCCTTGTTCTCCTCCAGTTCTGTACGTCAACAACAAGGCAATGCTTGCATTGTGTCACGAGCAGAGACTGGAGCACAGAACGAAGCACATTGCTCTTCGCTACTTCCTTGCGCGTGAGCTGCAACAGTGTCGTCAGCTCCGCCTTTCCTACGTGGCCTCGCGGGCCATCACTGTTGATGTGGTCACCAAGGCCCTTGGGTCTGGTGATCATCAGCGTTTCTGCACTGCTCTTGGGCTTGTGCCCACTCTGCCTCACCTGCTGGTTGCTTGACTTGCTCTTGTTGTACACTGATATATACCTTTATACCTGCTTGTTTACTCTTGCTAGGTTGTGATCAGTGTACTGCCTTGCTATTATAACTCTCCATGTGAACTGGCCTTGTGGTCGCTTGCTTGTGCTCAGATTGTGTGGTGTCCTCGAGATCCACCCTGTGCTTTGCTTTGCTTGTTCTCTTGCTTGACTGGTCTTGTGACCGTCTGTTGTGTTTGCTCTCTCCCACTTAGCCTATGGGGTTGTGTCAAACTGTATGTTTGTGTTCTCTCTAGGCTATAGTGGGTTAGCCTACAAGGGGTACAACACTTTAGGGTTAGTACTTGTACCCAACCCATTCATATTTTCTTTCATTTGTGCATAGTTATTATGACAGTCGCTGTATCGAACCGCAACAGCAGCAGTTAGTTAAACCTTTCATATTCCTTGTAATCATATAAAGCCATGTATCTCTTTGCTATAATCAAGTTATCTTGTTCTCACACACGAGTGCAAGGAGCCTTCATTAAACGCTTCCGCTAATACATCACTTCGATTTGAGCCGAAGTCCTTGAAAACGATCCTAAGGGCTTTTCTTAGCCCAACACTTGTCACCTTTCAGGAATGTTGAAGGCATTCCTTATCGTAACAAAAGTCAGTAGCATCGGAAATTTGACAAAAAGATGGTGAGGGTCAGTATCGGTCGCGAGGCAACAATCAGAAAATGCCTTGGCTTACTGATTGCTTGAGGGGGAAGCGTGTGGGGGGGATATGGTATCATGCTTTCTGTGAATTCGCTATGTTTTTTAACCTTCACGTTCCACTCGACTCTGTCCTTCCATACCTTGTTTCAATTTCCCCCCAAGCACATCGAATGTGGTGTATGAATCCTCCTTTCATAAACTGCACCATCCTCACTGTCGTCAGGACTTGGACACTTGCATTAAAGCACCCATTAAGAAAGCTTGCTTTCTGGTTCTTGCAAGGCAACGTGCTTCATTTAAATTGGGTAATTACAACATTCTCGTCCCACTGAAACATTACATTACATAGTTATCAACTAGGGGTGGGTGGGGGGAAGCGGAACTGTAAAGTTCCGAAAATGAAGACGTGGGTGGAGGCCAAATGGCCTCCATCCCTCGTTATGTACTTGGGAATAGGCATTCGCAATTGCCTTGCTTCGATACAGTCAGATGCGCTTTCATAATACATATTTTTAGAAAGTGTTACACACTTTCAAGAAAAATCATATTAAGAAAGCTTGCTTTCTGGTTCTTGCAAGGCAACGTGCTTCATTTAAATTGGGTCTTCTGAGACATGTGCGTATGTTGACGAAGTGCAGATTGCAGGGCCGGTTGAGGGCGATGTCAAGTAATAGCGATTGTTGGTATCAGTCGTTGTGCTCCAAGTTGAGGTAGTTATGGAGGTTGCTGCCTACTTAGGTAGATGACTGTGCCGATGGTTGTTGTTGGAGTGGAAGACGGTTCAAAATAAATGCTGCGCTGGCATGTGAGGCAGAGAAGATAGTTGTTAAAGACGATCCATGTGCTAGTTCAGAAGCTGACGGTGTTGCGCAAAGACTGATGCCGTGATTTCCGTGCTTCGTAGTGAATGGTGGGGTATAGGGCCACCTACGAATGACGTGTTAGCAAGACTGCATGCTCCTCCATATGTGACATGCATAGGGCAAGCTTGAGTTTGAAAGTGGAGAGGACGGTCCAAGATCAAGGACTTTATTGGAGGAACAGATGTCATTTGGCTGCGTTAATGCTGGTGGGCTTGCCAAAGAATGTTAAGCGATCTTCTAAAAGGTGCGTCATGACTTTTTATGACTGAAGGCGTGTAAGTTGCAGACGAACATAGGATAAACGGGACGTTGTCGTAATGAGTGACCGCAAGTGCACCAAGCTCGAAGTTTCCAAGACCGGGACGGTATTGAATGATGATAGCCGCATTCGCAAGATTCGTAGATCCAATGGGGATGCCAGTATTGTCAAACATATATGCTATAGTCTGTTTAGGCTGTAGTGGGGTAGTCCTTACAGGGTACAACACTTTTAGGTTTCCTATATATACCCACCTGCTTTCTAGTTCAGTCATTCATTCCTTCTCATTCTAACATGGTATTCTGAGCAGGTTCCCTAGTGGGAACGTTTTTTTTAGGGCCCACCACGATTTTTCTTCCTACCCGAAGCGCGCCTCGCGCCTGTTTCACCTGCGCCGTCGCGCGCCCTGCCCTTGTGCCGCCCGTCGTGGCCTTGCCTTGCTGGCCTGTCGTGGCCCTTTCCTTAGAGGCCCCTCGTGGCCCTACCCTACTGCCGCCCGTCGCTGGCCCGTAACTAGCCCGTTGCCGCCCGTCGCCGGCCACCCGTCGCCCGTCGACGGCCCGTTGCCGCCCATGGCTGGCCCGTCGCTGGCCCATTGCCGCCCGTCGCCAGCCCAATGCCGCCCTTTGCTGGCCCGTCGCTGGCCCATTGCCGCCCGTCGCCGGCCCGTTGCCGCCCGTTGCTGCCCGTTGCCGCCCATTGCCGCCCGTTGCCGCCCGTCGCCGGCCCGTCACCGGCCCGTCACCGCCCGTAGCTGGCCCGTTGCCGCCAGTCGCCGGCCCGTCGCCCTTCGCCGGCCAGCCGTCGCCCGTCGCTGGCCCGCCGCCCGTCGCCGACCCGCCGCCCGTCGCCGACCTGCCGCCCGTCGCTGACCCGCCGCCCGTCGGCCCGGCCCTGCAGACGTCCAGTAGCGGCCCTGCCTGCGTCGCCCGTAGCGGCCCTGCCCTGCTGCCGCCCCAGTAGCGGCCCTGCCTGCAACCGCCCCTGGTAAGCACCCGCGCCCCCCCCCTGCTCCGCCGTGCCGCCAGGAGCCGAGCCGCGCTGCTTGGCCGAGCCGCGCCGCCCAGCCGAGCCGTGCCGCCCAGCCGAGCCGCGCCGCCTAACTGAGCCGCACCGCCCAGCCGAGCCGCGCCGCCCTACTCAGCTGCACTGCCCTACCAGCACTGCTCCTGTTACTACTGCTGCTTCTGCTGCCGCTACTGCCCCTACTGCCACTATGGCTAGCCCCACAGTTCTCACCTTTGACGCTGAGGGACGTGCAGTTGACTTTGACGTGTGGGTTGACGACCTGCAGCTTTTTCTTCAGTGTGACTCTAGGGATGGAGTATCCCTATTCGATCAGGGGTCCGGTGCCTCTACTGCTCCTACTGCCACTGCTGACAGTACTGTTCGCTCGCAGTGGACCACTCGTGATGCTGTTGCTCGTCTTGCTGTTCGTAGTCACCTGCCGCCAGCTGAGCGTGCGCATTTTGGCCAGTACAAGACTGCTCAGTCTTTGTACGACGCTGTAGTTGCGCGCTACTCCTCCCCTGCCACTGCTGCCCTCAGCCGCCTCATGCTGCCGTACCTTTTCCCTGACCTTGCTGCCTTTGCCACAGTCGCTGACCTAGTTGCTCACCTTCGCACTAGTGACGCCCGCTACCGCGCTGCCCTTCCCACTGAGTTCTGTGCCAAGAACCCCCCCCCCATGTACATCACCCTTTACTACCTAGTCACCCGCCTCCCTGACTCCCTCTCTTCAGTCAGGGACCACTTTCTCTCCCTTTGCCCCACCGAGCTGACTGTCGACCTGCTAGAGGAGCGCCTTACTGCAGCTGAGAAGAGTATCTTAGCTGTAGGTGCTTCTCGCAGCGACCGTCGCACCCCTTTCTTTGAGGGGTGTTCCCCTGTCCCCCTTCTCCCCTCTGTTGCTTCTGCTGCTGCTGTCGACCTCGTTGGCACTGCGGAGGTCGGAGCTGCATCTGCCCCTACTGGGAGACGCCGCACCAGCAGGGGCAAGGGGAGCAAGGGTGGTGGCGGGGGCGGCGGGGGAAACAGTGGAGGAGGTGGAGGAGGCGGAGGTAGTGGCGTCGGTGGAGGTGGTGGCGGTAGTGGCGGAGGTGGTGGAGGCAGCGGCGGCGGTGGTGGAGGCAGCGGAGGCGGTGGTGGAGGTGGAGGTGGCGGTGGTGCTGGTCGAGGTGCAGCCGCGCAGCGTGGAGGCTTTGGTGGCAGCCAGCGCCAGCAGCAGCTGCGCTCCCGTGAGACCCCGTCGGTCCAGCAGCTTCGTGAGTGGTACGCTGGGCGTGGGAGGTCTGGGGCTGCAGGTCCCTGCACTTACGTTTTTCGCTCCGGCAGTCGTAGTGGGGAGGTGTGTGGGCTCCCACACACTACGCAGCGCTGCTTCGGTCGCTTGACTGACGCTTGGCGTGCCCAGTTTCCTGACGCCGTTGAGCTCCCTCGCTGGCATGATCTGCTTCTGCAGAATGTGCCTATCTTTGATCTTGATTTTGATGCTATCCTTGCTGCCATGTATGCTCTTGCTGATAGTGCTGAGGGTGACTATTACCTGAGTGTCCCGCCCGACCCGGGCATTGCGGCTGCTGCTCTAGGTGCTAGTGCGTCTGCTGCTCCAGGTGCTGGTGCGTCAGCTGCTCCAGGTGCTGGTGCGTTTGCTCTCTCTGGTACTGCACCTACTGAGTCCTTGCACACTTTTACACTTGACTCTGGTGCTTCGCGCTCTTTCTTTAGAGACAGCACCACGCTCACGCCGCTCAGTTGGCCTGTTGCGGTCTCCCTTGCTGACCCCTCCGGGGGCCCAGTCCTTGCACACTCCTCCACGGTTCTACGGTGTCCTGCGGCCCCGTCGGGCTTGCTGTCAGGACTCCACCTCCCCTCGTTCTCTACGAACTTGGTGAGTGGAGCTGACCTCCAGGACGTGTGGGTTGACCAGTTCACTCCTGGAGGTCAGCGTGTGACCCAATGCACTTTCTCTCGGATGGGCCGCCACCTGGCCACGTTCACCCGTCAGCCAGGGTCGAGTCTGTGCACACTGACTACTGCGCCTCCTCCGGTCTCTGCGTCTGTTCAGGTAGCTGCGTCTAGTCAGGTGTTTACTGCCGCGTCCAGGTCTAGTCCTGCGTCTGCCCCCTGCTCGTGTCGTCCTCTGTCGCACGAGACTCTCCTTTGGCACCACCGCCTTGGTCACCCCTCCCTGCCTCGTCTTCGAGGTATGGCCTCCCGTGCCCTTGTCTCGGGTCTACCTCGGTCCCTCCCTCCCCTTCCTCCGGGGCCTGCCCCCACCTGTGTTCCTTGTGTCGAGGGCAGGCAGCGCGCCGCCCCTCACTCCTCCTCGTTCCCTCCGACTGAGGCTCCTCTGCAGACTCTTCACATGGACGTGTGGGGCCCAGCCCGCGTCCGTGGACAGGGTCACGAGCGTTACTTCCTGCTGGTCGTTGACGACTACTCGCGTTACACCACAGTCTTCCCCTTGCGCAGCAAGGGTGAGGTCCCTGAGGTGTTGATCGACTGGATCCGCGGTGCTCGTCGCCAGCTCAGTGAGAGTTTTGGTTCAGACCTTCCTGTCCTGCGTCTGCACTCGGACAGAGGTGGGGAGTTTTCCTCCGACCTCCTGAGGGCCTTCTGTCGTTCGGAGGGCATCCGCTAGGCGTTCATGCTTTCGGCCTCCCCGCAGCAAAATGGGATTGCTGAGCACCGCATTGGCATGGTCATGGACGTCGCTCGTACGTCCATGATCCATGCGGCTGCTCCCCATTTTCTGTGGCCGTTCGCGGTTCAGTACGCTGCACATCAGATCAACCTTCAGCCTCGTGTCTCCTTGCCGGAGACTACACCTACTCTGCGGTGGACGGGGAAGGTTGGCGATGCGTCCGCGTTCCGTGTCTGGGGATCTCGAGCTTTTGTCCGCGATACTACAGCGGACAAGCTGTCCTCCCGTGCCGTTCCCTGTGTCTTCCTTGGCTTCCCGCCTGACGCACCCGGGTGGCAGTTCTACCACCCCACCTCGCGTCGTGTTCTGTCCTCTCAGGACGTCACGTTTGACGAGTCGGTGTCGTACTACCGTCTCTTTCCCTACCGCACTGCCTCCCTTCCCCCCTCGCCGCTCTTCCTCGCACCAGGTACTCCCCCGGTAGACCCCCTCCCCCCCCAAGGGTCTTGCCCCCTCAGGTGTATCCCAGGTCGACCCTGCCGAGCCGATCGAGGTAGCTGTCGACTCAGGTGCTGCTAGGGGTGCTGAGCCTGCGGGTGCAGGGACTGGGGGTGCTGAGACTGGGGGTGCTGAGTCTGGGGGTTCTGAGTCTGGGCGTGCTGAGCCTGGGGGTGTGGAGCCTGAGGGTACTGTGTCTGGAGGTGCTGAGCCTACGCGTGCTGAGTCTGGAGGTGCTCTAGGTGTCCCGTCGCGGCGGGAGCCTCTCTCTCCACAGCGGCTTCGTGAGTGGTACTCTCGGCGCTGTAGAGTTGCTGCTGGTACTGGAGGTGCTGCTGGTGCTGGAGGTGCTGGTGCTACTGGAGCTACTGGAGGTGCTGCTGCTGCTGGAGCTGCTGGAGGTGCTGCTGGTGCTGGAGGTGCTGCTGGAGCTACTGGAGGTGCTGCTGGTGCTGGAGGTGCTGGTGCTACTGGAGCTACTGGAGGTGCTGCTGCTGCTGGAGCTGCTGGAGGTGCTGCTGGTGCTGGAGGTGCTGCTGGAGCTACTGGAGGTGCTGGCGCTGCTGGAGGTGCTTCTGGTGCTGGAGCTGCTGGAGGTGCTGCTGGTGCTGGAGCTGCTGGAGCTGGTGGAGCTGCTGGAGGTGCTGCTGGGACTGGAGACCCTGGGGCTGAGGGTACTGGTTCTGTCTCTGCTGTTTCTGGAGGTGCTGCGCGGCCGCGGCCGTACTACGTTCCGCTCCTTCAGCAGGTTCATGGCTCCCCGCCTTCTCCTGGTCCTCCTCCTCCTTTCCTGAGTCCACCGCCTGTCCAGTCCCAGTCACAGTTGCAGCCGGCATCTCCACTGCCCGGTCCTTCTCCTTACTCTGGACCGACTAGAGGTCTTACGGAGCGTCGTGAGCCTGAGCCTCGTCCTGTGTCGCCTGCGTCTCGTTCTGCATCGCCTGTCCGTACTGTTCGCGCTGGTCGTGTTTCGCGTCCGCGTCTTCCTCCTGTCCCAGGCACTCACTCTATGACACTGCGTCCTTCTACTGCTCCACAGCGTGTCCCTCTGCCGTCTCCTCCTGCGTCCTCTCTTCCTGACGGTCCGGACCCGGAGTCTGACTCCCTTCGTGTTGCTAGTCCTACTATCACGCGCTTTATGGCCACTGCTGTCACTGACCCTCTGTTTGAGTCCTCTGCTGCGTCTGCTCTTGTTGCTGAGCTTGTTGACTTTGCTGCAGCCTGTCGCCTAGACTACGCCACTAGTCTTGTTGCTGAGTCTGCGTCTGTGTCTGTCTGTCCTCCGTCCGTCGGGGGTGAGTGTGCTCTTGGCACGGACGTTCTTGAGGACAGACAGGAGGAGTTTGAGTGCTTTGTTGCTTCTGTACCTCATCTCGTGTCCATGCTGCTGGCCCCTGAGGGAGACCCGGATGCACTAGACATCCCGACCCCGCGCTCTTACGCAGAGGCGATAGAGGGTCCCTACTCCTCTCAGTGGCAGGCAGCCATGGACGCAGAGATGGCTTCTTGGAAGTCCACAGGCACCTACGTAGACGAGGTTCCCCCACCTGGGGCGAACTTCGTCAGTGGCATGTGGATCTTTAGGGTGAAGCGGCCGCCGGGTTCTCCGCCTACCTTCAAGGCGCGTTACGTTGCACGTGGCTTCAGTCAGCGACAGGGAGTTGACTTCTTTCAGACCTTCTCCCCTACCCCAAAGATGACCACTCTTCGGGTACTGCTGCACGTTGCTGCTCAGCGTGAATACGAGCTCCACTCGCTTGACTTCAGCACAGCCTTCCTACAGGGCAGCCTGCACGAGGAGATCTGGCTGCGCCGCCCACCTGGCTTCACTGGGTCGTTTCCTGCTGGTACCCAGTGGAGCCTCCGGCGGCTAGTCTACGGTCTCCGCCAGGCACCCCGTGAGTGGCACGACACACTCAGGACGACTCTTGCTTCTCTTGGTTTTGCTCCTTCCACTTCTGACCCTTCTCTGTTTCTACGCACTAACACTACTCTGCCGCCGTTCTACGTTCTCGTGTACGTAGACGACCTCGTCTTTGCTACTGCTGACACTGAGGCACTTGCCCACGTGAAGTCCGAGCTGCAGAAGAGAGACACGTGCACAGATCTGGGTGAGCTGACAAGCTATCTTGGCTTGCGGATCACTCGGGACAGAGCACAGCGCACCATTACCTTGACTCAGTCACACATGGTGCAGCAGGTCCTTCAGCGCTTCGGCTTCACATACTCCTCGCCACAGTCCACTCCTCTGCCTACCGGTCACTCGCTCTCAGCTCCACCTTCGGACGAGTCCGTAGAGCCGAGTGGCCCGTATCCAGAGCTTGTGGGCTGCCTCATGTACCTGATGACTTGCACACGACCTGACCTCGCATACCCTCTCAGCCTTCTGGCTCGCTACGTGGCTCCCGGCAGGCACCGAAAGGTGCACTGGGACGCTGCGAAGAGGGTGTTGCGATACTTGTGCAGTACATCGGGCATGGGGCTCGTGCTTGGAGGACGGGCTCGAGTTGTTCTCACTGGTCACGCTGACGCCTCCTGGGTTGACGAATTGGCTACGCAGCGGTCGTCACAGGGTTACACCTTCAGTCTTGGCTCCGGTTCTGTCTCTTGGCGGTCTACCCGCTCTTCTTCTGTTCTCAGCTCCAGTTGTGAGGCTGAGATCTACGCTGGGGCCATGGCTGCACAGGAGCTACGCTGGCTCACCTACCTGCTGACAGACTTGGGAGAGGTGCCTCGTTCTCCTCCAGTTCTGTACGTCGACAACAAGGCCATATTGGCCTTGTGTCAGGAGCACAGACAGGAGCACAGAACGAAGCACATTGCTCTGCGCTACTTCCTTGCTCGAGAGTTGCAGCAGCGTGGCCAGCTTCGTCTCGCTTTCATGGCCTCACAGGCCAACACTGCTGATGTTTTCACCAAGGCACTTCAGCCTTGTGATCATCAGCGTTTCTGTACTGTGTTAGGCCTTGTACCTACTGTGCCTCACTTGCTAACTTCTTGACTCTGCTTGTACTGTACTCTATATACTTATACCTGCATGCGTACACTTGCTAGGTTGTGTTCACTGTATTGTTTGCTTTCCTTTACATAACTCTGCATGTGAACTGGCCTTGTGGCCCTTTGCTTGTGCTCAGACTGTCTGGTGACTTTGTGATCCACCCTGAGCTTGCTTTGCCTTTCTTGACTGGTCTTGTGACCTCTTGTTCTCCCCCACTTTGCCTATAAGGGTGTGTCAAACTTATATGCTATAGTATGTTTAGGCTGTAGTGGGGTAGTCCTTACAGGGTACAACACTTTTAGGTTTCCTATATGTACCCACCTGCTTTCTAATTCAGGCATTCATTCGTTCTCATTCTAACAAGTATTGGTTCGTAAAGAAATAATGTCGCACAACAGTACGTATATGTGGAAGAGCGTGATGAGGTGCCTCGAAGCACGGGTTACCGGCCCATCGGTTGCTCATCTGTTGGCCTATCAGCTGCTCATCTCTTAGCCCATCTGTTGCTCCTTCCTTGGCCTATCAGATGCTCATCTCTTGGCCAACCGATTGCTCATCTCTTGGCCCATCGTTTGCTCATCTTTTGGCCCCTCGGTTGCTCATCTCTTGTCACATCGGTTGCCCATCTCTTGGCCTATCTGTTGCTCGTCTCTTGGCCCATCGGTTGCTAATCTCTTGGCCCATCAGTTGCTTATGTTTTGGCCCATCGGTTGCTCATCACGTGGCCCATCCATTGCGCATCTCTTGGCCCATCGGTTGCTCATCTCTTGGCCCATCGATATCTCATCTCTTGGCTTGGCACATCGGTTGCTCATCTCTTGGCCCGTCGGTTCCTCATCTTGTGGCCCATCCGCTGGTCATCTCTTGGCCCCTCGGTTGCTCATTTCTTTGGCCCATCAGTTGCTCATCTCTTGGCTCATCGATATCTCATCTCTTGGCTTGGCCCATCGGTTGCTCGTCTCTTGGCCCATCAGTTGCTCATCTCTTGGCCCGTCGATATCTCATCTCTTGGCTTGGCCCATCGGTTGCTCATCTCTTGGCCCATCAGTTGCTCATCTCTTGGCCCATTGATATCTCATCTCTTGGCTTGGCCCGTCGGTTGCTCATCTCTTGGCCCATCAGTTGCTCCTCTCTTGGCCCATCAGTTGCTCCTCTCTTGGCCCATTGATATCTCATCTCTTGGCTTGGCCCGTCGGTTGCTCATCTCTTGGCCCATCAGTTGCTCATCTCTTGGCCCATCAGTATCTCATCTCGTGGCTTGGCCCATCGGTTCCTCATCTTGTGGCCTATCCGCTGGTCATCTCTTGGCCCCTTGGTTGCTCATCTTTTGGCCCCTAAGTTGGTCATCTCTTGGCCCCTCGGTTGCTCGTCTCTTGGTCTCTCGGTTGCTCATCCGTATGTGGTATTACGGTATGATTGCGAGACAGGAAGACGACAACAAGTGCGCTGCCTGCCACCCATGTTAGTCCCGTACTCCTCTCAACACATTGCCTGTAAATTGCCGAAGTGCGAACAATTACCGTACTCGGGTAATGAAGTGCAAGTTGCATTGACGTTTGGTACCGTACATGATTATATTTCCCTTATTTTGCCAAGCGTGACGACACGGAGGTGCGGTAAAAGTGAATGCGGTGATGGTTAAGAGACATTTTTCTCTCCATGCAGCCCTCGTTTGAGAACTTGAGTGCGTGTAGGTGAGTGAAAAATCATATCCAATATCTATCATTGCCACTGGTAGTTGCACACTACCAACCTTACCCCGATAAGTCAAATCATAGCTTGTGGTGTGGCGTGGCTCCAACATCCAAATACAACAAGGACTGCTCTTTTTTTTTTTTTTTTTTTTTTTTTGAAATCATTCATGTCTTTAAACATAATAGCCAAGGATACAACATATCCACATGCACAATACCGGTAAGTGTGGTTTTCCCAATCTCCGCTTTTGTCCATTTTCTTCCCCTCCCTAAGGCAGTGGCGCTCTGGCAAGCGTATCTTCATACCCTTCCTTCCCCCTCTGGAAAGATTTTATTCAGGCCGACATCGAAAGACACTGACCTCGGTTCCCTCCCCCCCTGGGGGACGGCTCTCAGGCCAGCATGGGGACCCTCGGTCCCCTCCCCCCCTGGGGGACGGCTCTCAGGCCAACATGGGGACCCTCGGTCCCCTCCCCCCCTGGGGATGGCTCTCAGGCCAGCATGGGGACCCTCGGTCCCCTCCCCCCCTGGGGACGGCTCTCGGGGCAACTTGGCGACTCGCGGTCCCCTCCCCCCCCTGGGGACGGCTCTTAAAGCAACGTTGCGACTCGCGGTCCTCGAGTTCATCGAGGAAAGTCGTTGGGTGCGTGTGGAGTAGGTCCGGTAATCGTTGCGATTTCCTTCACCATCAACATCTCGTGCCCGTTCTTCTGCCACCAAGGAATTAAAATTATATCGGAATTAGTCAGAGATGAAAGAAACAGAAAAATAAAGAAAAAATAATGAGGAAAAATCAGAAGAAGAATTGCAGCATATGCATCGCAACGCAATGTATAGGTGAGGAGACAAGGTATGCAGGTGGGTGACGCTGCAGTCAATGGCACAGGCGCTAGAGTGGCAGTTTCGTCACTGCCGCGCCTGTGTCCCTTTCGTCCCTGACACGCTAGTGGCAATGTCGCCACTGGCGCAAGTGGCGATTTCGCCACAGGCGCGCGTGTGGCGATTTCGTCACTGACGCGCGCCACTGGCGCAAGGGGCGATTTTGTCACTGGCGCGCGCCACTGGCGCCGGTGGCGATTTCGACCCTGCCTCGCGCCAGTGGCGATTTTGTCTATGGCGCGTGCCACTAGCGCAAGTGGCGATTTTGTCTCTGGCGCGCCAGTGGCCGTTTCGTCCGGCGCACTTCAGTCTTAGTTGAGTGTACGCTAAGTACAATCACGGGTGCTATCATGTGGCCCTTCAGCGTAAACACCATAGCTACTTGAAAATATGTATGGGTGGTTGTTTCTGAAATTGGTCAGGACGGGAACATTGCGAGTGGTTGGACGAGAATGAAGCGGAACTGTAAAGTTCCGAAAATGAAGGCGTGGGTGGAGGCCAAATGGCCTCCATCCCTCGTTATGTACTTGGGAATAGGCATTCGCAGTTGCCTTGCTTCGATACAGTCAGCTGCGCTTTCATAATACATATTTTTAGAAAGTGTTATACACTTTCAAGAAAAATCATTTCTTCCCCTGCTGCTTGAGCTTGCTGTTGCCATCATGGCTCGGCCTCACAACCTTGGCTTGCTGCTCCTCCTCATCGGCGTCACTCAGCAACCTCTGCAGCTTGCTTTTAGGCTTCTCCCTGCTCTTGGAACTCCCCTTGCTCTCAACCCCCTCACCCCCCTGTGTCAGCATTTTCACTGGATCTCAGGCTATCAGGTCTTCCCCGTGGCGTGCTCTGTTGCTTGCTGCCCTTCAAAGAATCAAATGCAGCAGCGCTTTGCTGAAACAAGTCTGCCTCACGAGTCTGGTACCTAAGGGGCCCATCTCGAAGGCTTGTGACCAAGGCAGCACGCTGCACTTGCGTCAGCATGGAACCATGCCTCTCAAACCCTCCACGCTCTAAACTAGCCCCCTCCACATCCCCCTGCCACCCTCTCATTGCCTCCACATCCTCCCCTTCCCCGTCATCTTCCCATGGCGCCGCCTGAACTGTGTCCCAGTCCTCATCCTCCCCCACCCACAGCGTATTCTCTCCTGCCCCAGCCATCCCGTCAACTCTCTGCACATGCACATTGCCACCGCCATGCGAGCCCCCTGCTGTATGTCGCACGCTGTGCTCCTCACATGCTCAGCGCCGGGGGAGGCGGCAGTCAGGGAGCGACTGGGAGGGCGCAGGGCGGCGGTCGAGAGTGTGTGAGCAACACGTAGTTGGATCCTCCTCGATGGAATCTACCGCGAGGGAGTGAGAGTGCCACCGAGACAGGGGGGGGCTGCCACCGCCATCGGCGCCACCGCCAACAACGCCACCACCAACAACGCCACCGCCATCGGCGCCACCGCCAACAACGCCACGATAATCCTCCTCCTCCAACTGGATCTCAGCGTGCTGGCGGCCGGAAAATCCGTCCTCGGGCGAGGGGAAGGTGTTATCTGGGGAGTGGGGTGGTTGTAAAGCGGCTCGCTGTCGTCCCACGCGTCGAAGCGACTCAGCTATTGGCTGCTCCTGCCCCGCCCGTCGCCGCCTCTCCTCTCCTGTCTCGCAGGCCCAGGCGAACCGCTGCCCACAGAGGTTGATGCCAGTAGCTGACGTGGCGATTCCTGGTAAGCTGCAGGCGATGTCACCACGATGGGCCGAGGCGAGGGGATGGAGCAGGGGAAGCGGGGGGAGGCGGTGGAAAGGGAAGCGGGAGGCGAGGAGGAGTCGAATGGCGAGCAGGCTTGCGTCACAGCGCACCGTCGTCCCCTTTCCGCCCTTCTCACGGTCAAAGAGGCAGGGAATTGATCGTAGATGGCGCCCGGCCCAGCGGGGCCACGCGTGTCGCACCGTTGGTCAACGGGCGACGCGTGGTGGTTCCCCGTTACAAACGGCTCGGCCACGTCATCATCACTTGGCCGCCGGATCTGACGGCTCAACGTCCTCGTCGGCCCTCTCGTCCCCAGATCGCTTGAAAGTTGCCGCGGCGGCGCATGGAGCACGGGGCGCGTGTTGACAGCGGCGAAGTCAGGGTCTGATTGGCTCTTCCGTGTGCCGTGAATCACGGCGGTTCCGCTGGACGATCGCGGCGAGGAGTTATGAGGAGCGCAAGAGGCCGACTTGGCGCGCTGTCCGCCAGGGCCTGTCGCTGCGTGGCGAGGCTGCAGTCGCGGCGCTTCTCACGGCGACAGATGATGCGACGTGCGAGCGGCGATGACCGAGCCGACGGTCTGCACCTTCGGAATCGGCACGCGATCGAGCGACTCGCCATGCCACGTGCCGTAATGCTGCGGTCGATGGGATGGATGGACATTCGACGCAGCCGCGCTGCTCACTGAGCTGGATTTAAGGCCGGGGCGCGAGAGCGACGTTGTTCGCGCGGCGGCGGATGAAGTAGCACCAGCCGCATTGTGCGTTGCATCGGCGGCTCCACGATGGTGGTTCTCGCCGTGTCGGATTGCCTTCGTTGCTTGGCCGCTCACGCCCCCGCTGCTGCTTCTCCCGCGGACACTCGACAGCGACGCCGATTCGAGCACCGAGGTACTCGCCGAATGACGAATCGTGCTGACGTGTCGCCCATGATTGGGGCCCAAGGTGTCGACGCGAAGCAGTACCCCATGACCGCGTGATTGGGAGCCATTAGGAGACCCCGTCGAAGCGCTACCGCAAGACTGAGAAGCCGCCAAACGCGGCGAGGCCGAGGAGGGCTTCCCGAACGATGAGTTGGAAGCTCGCGCATGATTCGGCGTCGGTAAGTCGCATTCGTGCCCCTCGGAGAGTTGCAATGACACTCGTGGCCCCCCGCACCGGTGGCTCGGGAGTTGCTGACGTGGCGACGCTTGTGCAGCTACCGGGGCGCGTCTAGGCGGTCCGGTAGTGACCCGAAGTTTGAGATCCGATTCGTCCGCATCGTTGTCGAGCAGCTGCATCACTCGCGCCACCTTCTCTGCTAACTGCTTTCTTGGCCCGTGGCCGCTAAGCACCATTGACGCAGCCATGGCGACAAGGTTCTTGAAAACCGATAAGGCGTAAAATTCTCACGGGTCTAGCAGGCAGTGAATCGCGAAAGCAAAGTGCGATGCAAGTGATTTGCTTGCTGAGAAGGGAGAACGGACGCAACCCTTGTACAACATGCTGATCGGTGCTGTCTCATGTTCCGGTCACCATTTCGTAGTTTGAGAGCGGCGGTAATGGTTCCGGTCCGGTGCGGGGAGATACGACGGCGGGGCGGCATTTGGTGTGAGGCGACGGGGCGCGGTGAGCAGATTTAATTTCCTTGGTGGCGCTGTTCCCTAACCTCAGTCGGATACGTCTTTGTGAGAAAGAGGGAGAGGGGTGATGTGCGAGGTGCATGACACGAAGGCATAGGACAGCGATTATAGAAACTGAGCAGCAATTGCCCGTGGTTTGCAGCTCGCACGCAAAAATGCTTGCGATGTATTCTGTCGTCGTTGCCTTGCTTTGCAAGTCAGTCTCCCAAGCGATTCGGATTTCGAAAAAATGTACAGAAATTGTAATTTCGAAGTACATTATACGGGGCAAACTGAAGAAATGTTAGATCTTGTCCGTAGTTTTGACATGTCAAGTTAAAGCGTGTCAACCCGAAGCGCGATTGTCCTTGCGTGTCAGTCACTGTAGCTTCGGTGTCAACTCGAAGCACTTGTACGAAGATCCACGACGCAAGATCATTCGTTGGGAATTACTCGCATATGCATACAATTCGTGCATGTCCAAGGCAGCAGATGTTTCTAGGTTTCAAGTAGGAAGCGGTGTCTTTTGATTGGCCACTAGGGGGCCATCCGACTAGTTTCTGCGACGATTGTCAGAATAACGAACGAGGATGAATGCATTGAACAGAACTTTGGTACAAGTACTAACCCTAATTGGGTTGTATCCCTTATGGGCTACCCCACTATATCCTACACAAAGTAAGCTATATAACATTTTGACACACCCCCATAGGCAAAGTGGGGGAGAACAAGTGGTCACAAGACCAGTCAAGAAAAGCAAAGCAAGCTCAGAGTGGATCACGAAGTCACCACACATTCCGAGCACAAGCAAAGGCCAAAATGCCAGTTCACATGAAGAGTTATATAAAAGAGAACAAACCGTACAGTTATCATACCCTAACAAGAGTAAGCATGCATATATATGTATATAGATCACAGTACAAGCAAAGTCACGCAGTGAGCAAGTGAGGCAAGGAAGACACAAGGCCTAAAACAGTACAGAAACGTTGATGATCACCAGACTGAAGTGCCTTGGTGAATATATCAGCAGTGTTGGCCCTAGTGGCCACGTAAGCAAGACGAAGCTGGCCACGCTGCTGCAACTCTCGAGCAAGGAAGTAACGCAGAGCGATGTGCTTCGTTTTGTGCTCCGGTCTGTGCTCCTGACACAAGGCAATCATGGCCTTGTTGTCTACGTACAGAACTGGAGAAGAACGAGGCCGCTCTCCCAAGTCGGTCAGCAGGTAGGTGAGCCAGCGTAACTCCTGTGCAGCCATGGCCCCTGCGTAGATCTCAGCCTCACAACTGGAACTGAGAACAGAAGACGAGCGGGTAGACCGCCAAGAAACAGAGCCGGAGCCAAGGCTGAAGGTGTAACCCTGTGACGACCGCTGCGTAGCCAAGTCGTCAACCCAAGAAGCGTCTGCGTGTCCAGTGAGGACAACTTGACCCCGTCCTCCAAGCACGAGCCCCATGCCCGACGTACTGCACAAGTAGCGCAACACCCTCTTAGCGGCCTCCCAGTGCTCTGGTCGGTGTCTCCCGGGCGCAACGTAGCGTGCCAGGATGCTAAGAGGGTAGGCAAGGTCAGGTCGAGTGCAGGTCATCAGGTACATGAGGCAGCCCACAAGCTCTGGATACGGGCCACTCGGCTCTACGGACTCGTCTGAAGATGGAGCTGAGAGCGAGTGACCGGTAGGCAGAGGAGTGGGCTGTGGTGAGGAGTACCGGAAGCCGAAGCGCTGAAGGACCTGGTGCACCATGTGTGATTGAGTAACGGTGATGGTGCGCCATGCTCTATCCCGGGTGATCTGCAAGCCAAGATAGCTGCGCAGCTCACCCAGGTCAGTGCAGGTGTGTCTCTTCTGCAGCTCCGACTTCACAAGGGCCAGTGCTCCAATGGCAAGGACCAAGTCGTCTACGTACACTAGGACGTAGAACGGCGACAGCGAAGTGACGGTGCGTAGAAACAGCGACGGGTCAGCAGTAGAAGGAGCAAACCCAAGAGCCGCAAGCGTCGTCCTCAGTGTGTCGTGCCACTCGTGAGGCGCCTGGCGGAGACTGTAGGCTGGCCGCCGGAGGCTCCACTGGGTATCTGCAGGAAACGACCCAGTGAATCCAGGTGGGCGGCGCAGCCAGATCTCCTCGTGCAGGCTGCCCTGTAAGAAAGCTGTGCTGAAGTCAAGAGAGTGAAGCTTGTAGTCACGCTGAGCGGCGACATGCAGCAGTACCCGAAGAGTAGTCATCTTCGGGGTAGGGGAGAAAGTATGGAAGAAGTCATCTTCCTGTCACTGACTGAAGCCTCGTGCAGCGGAACGAGCCTTGAAGGCAGGCGGAGAACAAGGCGGCCACTTCACCCTGAAAATCCACATGCCATCGACTATGTTCGCCCCAGGAGGGGGAACTGCGTCGCCTTAAGTGCCTGTGGACTTCCAGGATGCCATCTCTGCGTCCATAGCTGTCTGCCACTGAGAGGAGTAGGGACCCGTAATCGCCTCTGCGTAAGAGCGTGGGGTCGGGATGTCTGGTGCATCCGGGTCTCCCTCAGGTGCAATCAGCATGGACAGGAGATGAGTTACAGCAGCTGCAAAACACTCAAAGTCCTCCTGCCTGTCCTCAAAGACGTCAGTGCCAAGAGCACACTCACCCCCGACGGACGGAGGGCAGTCAGACCCAGACTCAGCGACAAGACTAGCGGCGTAGTCGAGACGACAGGCGGCAGCAAATTCAACAAGCTCAGCAACTAGGGCAGACGCAGTAGCAGACTCAAACAAAGGGTCAGTGACAACAGTGGCTAGAAGACGAGGGACAGTAGGACTGGCAGCACAAACTAAGTCAGACTCAGGGTCCGGACCGTTAGCAAGAGAGGACGCAAGAGGAGACGGCAGGGGGACATGCTGTGGAACAGAGGAAGGACGAAGTGTCATATGGTGCGTGCTGGGAACAGGAGGAGGACGCGGACGAGGAACACGACGACCAGTGCGAACAGCGCGAACAGGCGAGGCAGGACGAGACACCGGCTCACGATGCTCTGTAAGACCTCCGGTCTGCTCAGTGTAAGGAGAGGGAGCAGGCAATGGGGAGGCTGGCTGTAACGGCGGCTGCGACTGGTCAGGCGGTGGACACAGTAAGGGAGGAGTAAGGCCAGTAGAAGACGAGAGACCAAGAACCTGCTGAAGCAGGGGAACGAAGTACGGTCACGGCCGTCCAGTGTCTCCAGAACCAGCACCAACAACACCACCACCCCCAGGGCCAGCGCCTCCAGCTCCGGTGTCTCCAGCTCCAGTTTCCCCAGCTCCAACGCATGCAGCACTACAAGCTCAAGCAGCTCCAGTACCTCCAGTACGAGAACCGCTAGGACCAGCGGCTCCAGTACCTCCAGCAGCTCCAGCTCCAGTACCTCCAGCAGCTCTAGCTCCAGTGTTATAGTCACAATAGGCTTGAATGTGCCTAAAACGAAAGATAGAGAGCACAGACGGATTTCTGCACAGCGGCTTCAAACGTTGATAGCGTTCTGCTCACAGCTGCAAATGACTTGATTCAAATTGGATCTGGAGCGTCTTCACGTCGTCTACAATTATCAATTTAGATTGCACGATTTGATAAAGAATTGACGACAGAGCGTCGGTTTGAACGAACGGTACTATGGCAGCCACTATAGTCTTAGAACACAAGATAGGAAGAGTTACGAGTTGGGAATGACTCCCAGCTCCTACAAACCCCAAGAGCCGAGGTACAGTGATGTGGAACAGTGCCACACTGTCCCCAACCACGAAGGGTCTCGAAACTACCCTTCACTAGGGCCTACACCAAGTGAAATGTTACACTACACAAAGTAATGTAACTATCTTCAATATCTTGAGGTGTACCCTTTTGGCGAGCTTCGAAATCACTTGAGGCTTGACACCAAGGCTCGGGCTCTTCATCACAAACTCATCCTTGAGTTCTTGATGGGTCTGCTGCACACACCTGCGACACGCCGAACGTTCGACACAGGACAAAATAGAAACCGCGCACGACAAAATAGAAACCGCGCGCGAGACACAAACGACCGCGTAACACGCGTCTAGCGATAACTCGCTATTGACTCGACACACACACTCGACATCATGACTCAACATTCACACACAATTATAAGCATGAAATATATATTATCCCATGCCCTCATACCATTCCATACACACACACATTCACGCACACGGACAACAAGCCGAGTGCAAACCGTAGGGTTGCACCAACAAACTCCCCCTCGGATTGTTGGCCTTAGGATATGTTGCTCTCTCAGTTCAGAGCCATCCCAGCCAGCTTGCAACACTTCCAATGCTGCTGCTCCACCAGCCTCTTGGTCATCATGTCAGCCGGCTGCCACACAATCTCCCGTACGGCACGGAAGAGTGCCATGTACTCGGACTCCACCGAGCTCAAAGCTTGGTCAACCTGCTTCTTGCTCTCCCAAGCAGTTGGGCCTCCACCAACACAGCATATGAAGCCTCCCACACTTGTCATGTCCTCTGGTTCTGATGCATATGAAGCATCCGAGTAGGCGGTGAGGAACAAACGCCCGGGTTCAACACCATCCGCGCCCTTTTGGCGCCTTTTTGCCGCCGCCGAGTATTGCAGCCCAACGGTCGGTGTTTGGCCAAGATACTTGGCCACCCTCATTCCAGCTGCTACCTGCTCCTCATTAGGGCATTGCACAACCCTAGCCAGCTGCCCGGTAGCAAACGCGACGTCCGGTCGGGTGTTTACCGCCGCATACATGAGGCTGC